TGGTGATAGAATGGCCCTAGGTTCAATCTCCAGCACTGTAAAAAAAAAAAAAGGTCTGTAAAAAGGCATTGAAGCAATAAGGGACTGACTGGTTACTAGTAAAGAGAACTGATTATAAATTAGAAATATAGGAGTAGCAGAGTCTTAGGGCTGAGACAGAGAAAGCCCCAGGAAGAAGCCCTCACCCCTCTATGCCTGCCCAAGGCTGAGATCCATACTATACTGGAGAGGCCATGACCAGAGGTGAGAAACAATAAAGGTAATAATAACCAGTATAGGCCTAATGCCTCTTATCTATTTCTGAAGGACCAAACATAATACACACTCCATGAAGCCTTTTGGGGCCCCTCCTCCCTTTCGGTCTGGGTGGAACCAAGTCCTCTTCCTTTGTGAGTGTAGACTCTCCCTCTCACTGACATACATATTTGGACCAGTAATACTGCTACTGGAGAGACTTTCAATTGTTGATTGCATTTTTATTTACTCATTTACATCCAGTAAGGGTTGGCAGAAATAATTCAGGACCCTCACTTAAATCTGAATATCAGATGAGTGACAGATAATTTTTTGTCACTCATAGGCCTCAAATTTTTACATGGGACAGTCTAAAAAAATGTTTATTGTTTATCTGAAATTCAAATATAACTGGATATCCTGTATTTTCATTTGCTAAATCTGGTACCCTTACCTTCCATGTCCACATCCAGCTGTGGTTTCCTTGTTGGCAGAACGTGTTTCTCATTGATCTCTGAAACCTCATATCATGAGAGCCCAATGCATGAGAGTTAGTGCTCAAAGTTAAGAGACTGGTGACTTTTCTGGCTCTGGAGTTGAAATTAATCGGAAAGAGTTGAGACTAGACACAAAGAGACCAGTTAGGAAGATGAGCAATAAACCACCCAAAAAGCTATGAAAACTTCAACAGAATGGCATTGGGAATAGAGAAAAGGGGATGGAACTGTAGGAGCTAAGGATTTGGTGACCAGTAGATAAAGGTTATGACAGAGCACAAGGAGTCTAGGGTGTTGCCCAAATTTTTGCCCTGTGTCACTAGGTAGAGGTTGGTACATTCATGAAGGAAGGAACACTGGAAGTGGTTTGGAAGCTGGAGAGCAGGGAAGCTTATTGATGTGGGGCACAGAGCAGCACGGAGAAGGATAGAGAGTGGATTTGAAGGAGTGAACTGAAAACATCAGAGCAGATATGTGAAGCTTGAGGTTTCCAAGGATATGTGGGCAGACATACTGAAATTAGACTCAGACTCAGGAGAAAGGTCTAGAATGGAGATAAAATGAGTGAGTTAGCATGGAGGTGGTGACTGAAACTATGGGAGTCCATAATGTTGCAGAGAGAGAGAGAGAGAAGAAAAAGAGGAAAAAGATGATTTCAGTTACCTGAGGAACACTAAGAGACAAAGAGAGCCAGATGTGGTGCTGCACACCTGTAATCCCAGCCCTTCTGGGAGGCTGAGGCAGAAGAATCATAAGTTTGAGCCCAACCTAGGCAATTATTGACTTATCAAGATCTTGTCTCAAAAATGTTTTCAAAGTGGCTGGGAAGGTAACTCAGGGTGAAGGACCTGGATTCTATCCCTAATACCCCTCTCCCAAAAAAAAGAGACAGGGAGAGAAGAGGAACCCAAAAGTAGTAGAATGAGCAGCTGGAGGAGTGGAAACCAAGAGAGTCATGGGAAGATAGATTCTCAAGGAGAGGTGACAAAACCAAGTGCTTCTGGGAATTTAAAGAACTAAAAGGTTGAAAAGTAGCCTTTAAGTTTAGCAATGATAAGGCCCTGGTAGCCCCAGCAAAACCTCTCCTAGTGAAAGAGAGGTAAAAGCAAAGCAGATGTCTCTCTCTCTCTCTCAATTTTTTTTATGATTGCATATATTTGAGCCAATAGAAATACAGATGGGAAGGAGATATGAGATAGAAAAAGGTTGAAGAGTAGGAAGTGTTGTAAATAACTGAGACAGAAAGCCCTGATATTGGAGCTTGAACACAGTTGGAGGAATCAATCGAGCCACAGGAGGACATTGGTCATGGTATATAGAATAGGGCATCACAGTGTGGGTGCACTGACTCCAAAGGGGCCTCTTAATGAGCTTCAGAAAGCCTGTGCACCCCTGAGATCATTTACCCTGATTTATACATCAGCTACCTTTCCAGTATTTTCATAGGATAGCTTTCATTTGCTTTGGTCTATGGCTTTCATTATATTCTCAAAGGACTCCTCAAGTCTAAACTAGACTTGAGAACAACAAAGGTATGATCACATGGCACAAATTCTCCTGAATCTTTTCTCTGATCACTCAACTTCTTCCTCCACCTCTCCCTTCAAGATGAAGGGAGCTAGTCCACATATACTGCATCACTGGGACCTCTGGCCAAGGATAAGATAGAAATCTCTGGACAATAAAACTGGAAAGTTGCGGGGAATTTAGCTCACCAGTGCCGTGCCTGCCTTGCAAGCACAAGGTCCTGAGTTTGATCCCTGGTACCGAGAAAAAAAAAAGAAAAGAAAAACGGAAAGTCACTGCCAAGGCATCTGCTAGACCAGGTAGCCGTGAGTGGGGGTATACATGGAACCTGGAACCACATATCCTGGATAAAATAAACCTACAGAGGAGTTTGAGATATTCCCTGGAGCTGGAAGGATTGTCATTTCCAAGCTACCTATAATTTTCTGTCTTGTAAAAGGCTGTGACTTGATACCCCTTTGGAGACCATTTCTTAGTTCTGGGAAGGCTACTCATGGGGCAGTGTGGTTTTGTGAAGGTGAAACAAAGACCAGAGTCAGAAAAGGAAGTACCAGAAGCCCCCTCAGCTCAAAGAGCTCAAATGTGTTGCCTGGGGTGGTCATGTGACAGGTTACCTCGGCAAAATTGTAAACAGATGCAGTTCTCAGTCTGTTTCCTTCGGGAAAATAGTTTTGTTTGTTTGTTTTCCTTTTGAGAGAGATTTGGATTATTCTGACCTACAAACTGGGGCTGCTTCTTGTGGGAATGTGTTCTTTTTGGAAGAGTTGTAGTTTCCTCTAAGACTTTGTGAGGTATTTGCAGAAATTCTCTGGGACCCAGAATAAAACTTCAAGTTTGGGGGGACTACTCCTGAAGGACTGGTAATTTGGGGAGGGTTGAGAGTCCAGACTTGTTTTGGGCTCCAGTCTGGCCTTCTCACAGTAAGCACCCTCAGAGATGGCTTTTTTCACTCTCTCTAAGCAACTCTGAGGACAGCAGTGGCAGGGGCTGGAAGATTTGAGACCCTCGAGGGTTTGAGGACTAGGTTGGACTTCAGATTTTCCCAGCAGGGTGCTGCTTGACCCAAATGTTCCCAGAACTGACAAAATGATCCCCCCCCCGCCCCAAATCAGCCCTCTGCAAACTGTATGACACTGATGCCATTTCCTTTGGGTATTATGTGGAAACTGAGGATCCTGGATTAGTTTTGGAGGCAGAGAGAGGGATCAAGGGCATGTTTCAGGATAAAATAGGACCAAAGTTTTGGGGACACCTAGAACTGTGTGAACACAGAAGAGGGGAAGCACAGGCACAGTTCACATCCTTGACCCAGAATGGGCACAGCTCTCAGCGCTCTTGGCTCCCCAGTAGTCTGGATGAAAGGGCACCTTGCCAAAGCAGATGGGCATGCAGGAAAGAGTTGCTGTCAACAGCGTTAAATGCCTTGCACCCCACTGTCTACATTGTCTCTCTCCTTGGTTTAGGCCACAGCTTCTGCATGGAGGCCTCTCAAATCTGTTTCATCCAGACTCCCAACCTCCAGACCAGCACAACCCACTGCCTCCTGACAGTCCCTCTGGATGTCCCACAGTCCCTCAGATGTAGCACCCTTTCCAAGCACACATCCCTGTCTTACCACAAAAGAAGGAAAATCACATAGGTCTTGCCAATACAAATGCCTAGGACCTGGGAAACATGAAATGCAGAAAAGCTCAGGGGACTTCATTGATCTTTTGGAGATGACTTGGGGACAATATGAGAGACCACTCGATGAAAGTATGTACCTCTTAGCTTCTGTGTGTGTGTGTGTGTATGCACGTGTGTGTATGCACTATTGGCGTTACATCCCCATCCCTTTAAAAAATTTTTTTTAATGTGACACAGGGTTTCTCTAAGTCACTACGTTGCCCAGGCTGTGCTTGAACTTGGAATATTCCTGCCTTAGCCTATTTTTAAAAATACCATTTGCCAAATGGAATTTATAATTATATATGTAATTGCTTATTTATTGTCTGTCTCTCCTGGTTTAAGCTTCGTAAGAGCAGGGATTATGTCTTTTTCACTTCCATATCTTTAGTGTCTATCCAAAGGCTGACATAATTGATTAAGAGTAAATAAACATTGGATGAATAAATCAATATCCTTATTCATCACTCTAAATGCAGATCCCTCTGTGTTACTGGGTCCTTTCCTGCATTCTGATCCCTGTGAGGCTCTGTGCACTGTTTCCCCAAACCAGCATCTCATGCATCCTTTTCTCCTCTTCAGCCTTTTTTCAGTCACTCTCTTGCCCTAGGCTGCTTCATGGAACAAAGGTAGTCAGCTCGCTGTGCTGGACCATCTGCAAGTGTACACCTGTCAGGGTGGCTTCAAATCAGCTCTCTGGATGCAGGACACTGATCAGTGACAGTGGAGTGATGTAACATGGTTTTCTGTCTTTACCTGATAAGCAGGGGCCCCACAGCCACAGGTGGAGGCTTTCTCCATGGAAGTCTTTAGGTCTCCCCTCAACAGGTAACCCAGGCCCCACGGGTTGGGGACTGTAGGAGGTGTGAGTGCCCTGTGAATGCATCTTTGCTGCCCACTCTGCCTGGGTTCCCCATCTCCCATCCTGGAGCTCTGGGAAGGGATAAGCAGTGGGAGATGCAGGCCAGGGCTGTGATTGTTGAGTCAATGCGAAGTGTGTGAGTAAGCAGATGAGAGCACATCTCCAGCCAGCCCCTTACCCATCTGCACAGCCCAGGAAACAACCTGACAAACCACTAAAGTAAATAAATAACTTAGAAATAATAAATAGGGATCCAGCTCCCATCAGTAAGGATAAGACCATCTCCAGCACAGGCACTTTCAGCCAAGGACTACAATGTGTGTCCTTCAAATTCCATCCCCCCAGGGCCTGGGCCACTGCTGCATTCCCTAGAGGTGACTCAAGTCCCAGGCCTGGCCAGTACCAGAGTCTATGAGAGGTGGGTGTGAAGGTCTCCTAGCTGAGGTCTCTGGTGTCTGTAGGGCGGGATCTCCAGGGTGAGCACCTTGAAGCTGATGGTCAGTCCAGTTACCCTTCCTCCTCTCCGGGACCGTGTCCGTCAGGTCTGAGGCTTCCATCACTGGCTGAGGCTCCTGGCCAGTAGGACCCTGCAGGAGGGCCACAGGCAGGTGCACGTGTAAGAGTCCAGTCCACAAGATCTTGAAGAGAGCTCTCAGCCTAGGCAGCCGCAGGCAGTTGCTGAGAGGCGGTCCACGGTCCTCCAGGTGCTGTTGACATCCATGAAGGAGACGGCTTCATAGTGAGTGGGCCGGCAGCAGGGCTGGGTGACCGGCCAGGAGCCTGGCGGCGGCCGAAGAACCCCTGCACCCAGTAAACTGGCCAGGCTGAGATCATGCGGGGAACGCGCACGACGGCAGGAGCCACTGCAGAAGCGGAAACGCACCAGCTCATCGGAGCTGTGGCCCAGGCCCAGGGCGCGCACCGGAACCAGCTGTGAGCGCAGGCGGCAGCCCCGTGCCCCCGCAGCCCGCGCGCGGCTGCCTCGGGCCCCTCCACGCGCTGTGCGTCCTCCGCGGGGTGAAGCTGGCAGGGAAGGGGACACGGGAAGGGGCGCAGGCCGGGAAGGCTGCGGCGGTGGCCGGCGGGTTCTTCCGCCGCACATATGGGCCAGGCGTCCACCTGGAATGAGACAAGGTCACACGCGGTGTCCTGGCCCTTGTCCCGCCCCCTTGCACTCTCACCTACCCGGCAGGTGGCCGGTGGGGGGCGCCAGGACCGGCGCGGGGCCTTCGCGAGTGGCGGAACTGCGGGCCTCAGGGCCCAGTGAGGACTCCGTGACGCTGCTGAGCAGGGCTAGAGCGGCCAGTGTTGGCCACAGGGCTGGCTGCGCAGAGAGACGAAGTGGGGACTCAGGAAGGAAGAGAGTGCCCTGATAGGCTGTGTTTGGGGGCTCTTGGGGCTGACCTGTCGTTGGCTGAGATCAGAGAGGGTTTGGGCTCCCAGTTGGGTGGGGGTGTCAGGAAGGGCTTAGGTTCAGGAATAACGGATTCGCTGTCTCTGGGAGCCTAGGTGAGGAATCAGCTGAGGGCACTGACCATCGACAGAAGTTCTGGTCCTTCTGCCATGTGCCTGAGTCCTCCCTCCTTGACCATTTCCTTTCCCACGTCTGACCTGTACCCATGCCAAGTCCTGCTCTTCCCTCAGCTCAAGCCACCCTTTCTCAATACAGTTTGGAATCTGGGGCAATCACTCACCTGCGGCCTAGGCCAGGGGCAGTAGGGCAGCACAGTAGGGCCTCCAAGTCCAAGTTCCATCTCTATCAACACCAGGAGCTCCCATCAGCCTTTGTTGACCTGTTCCCCCACCCTCCTCTTGAGGCAGCTTGCAAATTGAAAGATGAATTATTTGGGGTGGGGGGGTGTCATCTTTCCACCTAAGTTTGGCCATGCTACAAGGGGCTGGGGTAGCACGACTCAGTCCAGAAGTAGCCACATTGAGAACCTTAACTGTGTTAGATGCTTTGCAGCTATTTCTTTCTTTTCTTTTTTTCACAGCTCCATGAACTAAATGGTTCGATCTCCTTTTTTCCAGATGAGCAAACAAGGCTCAGAGAAGCTCAGAGATTGTCTAAGAACACAGGGTAGACTAAAACCAACAGCCTTTACTCCATGCTACAGGGGAGGATGCTGAGGCCTGGAGAAGAATTAGTGTCTGCTGCTCACTCTGAGAGTTATCTGATAGTGAGGCCCAGGCCACTCAATGCCACTTCACCTTGCTCCTCTGCGATCTCTGTTCTAGACCCAAAGCCTCCTGAGTTTTCTCTTCTGACCACACATGTCCCTCCGGAGACCGCAGATGGTGGGGGATGCTGGGCCCTCTGAAAATAATAGGCCTGGGCCCTGTCTTCCTATAACCACCAGGGGGCAGAGTCTGCCAAGCCTGCAGACTAAAGAGGCAGAAGGTGGGCTTTTTCAAGTCTCTGCGGGCTCAGGCTGGGGCCACTCCCAGGAGGGCCTGCCAATCCACATACTAGCCTGGTCTCTGAGACCTGGCCCAGGTCTGCCCCCTTCAGCCTCCTGTGGATCTGGCAGCCCAGCTTTGCTCTTAGATGTTTCCCTCATCCTTCCCGATCCCAGCCAGCCCTCCCAAGTGCCACCAGCCTTTGCTAGCCCCCACGGGCTGACACTCCTGAACACCACTCTGGGGCTTCAGAACCTTCTTGAGCCCTCATTAGCCAGTCTTTCCTTGGAGCCCAGCTGTTATCCTAACCCCCTTTGCCTAGCACACAGTGTCTGCACACCTGTTGGACAGATCTCCCAGGCCTTCCTCTAGGAAGTGATCCTCCAGGGCCAGGTGCATGCCTGTTGGTAAACTGGATTCAGAGCCCTCCAGGCCAGGCCAGTGACTATTCTCACAGTTGGAGGCAAAGCCAGGCAAAGCACCTTAGAGGCCTCTGCACTAGGGGGAGCCCAGGAGTAGGTCCCTTGAGGGCAGCTCAGGCCCTGTTTCCCTCTTTGCTGTCTGGGCCACTGGGTTGTCCAGCCCTTTCCACCCTGATCCACCAGCCCACTACTCACCACGGGGGTCCTGCACTGTGTTCTTCTAGGCACCTTTCCTGGGACCAGTGCTGGGCTTTCCCCCGAAGCTCAAATGGCTCATGCCCAGGGCTGTGCACCTGGCAGTGCCTCTTTTAGCCAAAAGTGCAGCCTTGGCAACCAGTCTGTGCCCTGTAGCGGCAGCAGGAGCCTCACATTACAGCGGGCCAGCAGGGCTAGCACACTCCGACAAACGACAAGAGGGACTGGAGGGTCTGGGAGGGGCAGAGCGCTGCGCTGAGGGCTGGGGAGAGGGAGGATGGGCGAAGACCGTCCTGCCTCGTGCATTCAGGTCTGGGACCAGGGGATGGGCATGCGGGAGGGCTTACCTCGGGTGCGGGCCTCTGAGCCCGCGTCGAAGTGAGCGCTGGGGCCCGAGGGACTTGCTGCTGGCGGAGCCCGCGGGCCGTGTCCGGGGGCCAAGCCCAACTCCATCCCTCAGCAGCCTCCTGCCCGCCGTCTGGTGTCAAATTCCAGCCCCGGCGTCACCGGATCCCGGGGTGGGGCCCAGAGCGCCCCCGCCCCGCCCCACCTTTCTGGGTTCACCTGGCCGCTCTCCCCGCTGGACTTGGTCACCACTGCCTGGCTACGTCCCCCAAGGTCTGGGGTAGACGCTAGGAGGGGACCCGCAGATGAAAAGAGTGGAAAAGGAAGGCGGCGGAGAGGCATGCAAACTGGGAGTTCGGAGTTTGTAGTCACGCGAAGTGGAGAGCTGGGAGGCTGGACCGAGGGCGGGAGAGAGCAAGCGAGGGCGGGGAAGGAGGGACAGGCGGGTCCCTGCCTTGGCCACGGCCCGCTAGGCTGCAGACTCGGGGGTCCTGGCTGGCGGGACCTCCTGCTGGTTTATCTCTCTGCAGATTGCTCGCCCGCCTCGGAGCGGCGACGCTCTGCGCTGTAGTCCTCCCGTTGCTCACCTCCGAAGCTGGTCGGGACTCAGAGAGACGCAGGTGAACACCTTGGTCTGGCAGCATAGCCATGGCCATGAGGAAATGGAAGTGAGGACTGAAAAAGGGGAGAGTAACAGAGTGGGAAAATAGGAACCGAGGCTTTAAATATGAGGGGAGGGTGGCATTTCAGTTGCCTAGTTCTGGTAATTTGGTAGGCGGGCTGGGGTTTGGGTGGTAACATGGCTGGAAAGTTCAGGCTGAAGAGGCTGGCTTTATCCCAGATGCCAGGACCACTGAAGGATTCTGAGCAGGTCAGAGATGCATTTTCGAGGATTACTAGCTGCATACTAGCTGCAGTGGGAAGGATGGTTGGAGACAGGCAAGACAGGAGAGGTGGCAAGTCAGCTGTCACCCTTAACCCTTCCTCAGGGGAGAGAGGATGAGGCTTGAGCAAGGTCGTGGGAAGCCAGGGGGCACCCAGGCCCAATCCCCCATGCACCCTTTTGAAAATTCAGTGCCTATTCAGGTGGGGTGAGGGAATTGGAGGGACAGAGGTGTGCCTTTAGCTTTGGCCTGGGTGACCAGGTACAGGGGAAGCATTCTGGGAAGCAAGACTCCCTGGGGAAGAGGTGGGAGCTTATGAATGTAGCATTGGACATGTTGAGTTGGAAAGGCCTGTGGATTTTCCTAAGTGGGAATGTTCAGGAAGCAGCTGAATTTTGTAGCCTGGAACAAAATGAAGAGAAATGGGCTGGTGATGGCAATCTTTGAAACACTGTTGACCAAATGACACGAAATTGGCGGTTGTGGGTGGGGATGAGAGGGCTCAGGGAACATGTACGGACCAGCTGTACCCAAGCTATGCTCCAGAGTCATGGGGACCTTTAAGAACTACCCACATCCGGGCTCCACCCCAGATCTGAATCAATCTCATGGTACGAAGGTATAATTTTTCAGATTTGCACAGGTGATCCTGGCATATAGCCAGAGCTCAGAACCACAGTGTTTGTGAGGGAGTTTCACGCAGTGCTGTGGACTGAAGTCAGACTGCTGCTGCTGCTGGGGGCTGTGTGCAAGTTCCACAGGCCCTGGGGGACAGGAGGCTAAGACATGAAAAGTGTGCTCTGCTGCATCTCATAACTGCTGCCCACTTCGGGGGCAGCCTCCCTTGAATTTTCAGCCAAGATCACCACTTATAGGCATGGCACCTAGGCCCTGCACGACTCCAGTGGGCACCATTCAGGCAGGAGGCAGTACACTGGAGTAACACATTGAGGGCCCTGTTTGAAGCAGAATGTGGGGGTGTTTACGGGCTTGCCTGGCCCTCAGTTAGGGCCTTGCTTCCTCTCAGCGGAGGAGGCTTCTGCCTTAGGACAGACCACAGCAGTAAGGAGGGCATGGTCCTTTGGATGGCCAGGATTCTGTCCTCAGGGGTCTCACCAGCAGGAGGGCCTGGGGCTGCCTGCACTCTTGGACTGGGGTAGACCAGATGGTGCAGTGGCCAGCTCACTCACTGTCAAAGTAACACAGTCTGGCAGCAAGCTCCCTCTGTGGACTCAGACACAGGTATGAGTCTGCCTATTTTCAGGCCAGCTAGAGGTGCTGGGGAAGAGATCTGACTTTAAGGTTCTAAGCGGGTGAGGTGGCATGGGAATGCCTTTTCTAAAGTTCCCCAGGATATACTTAGAGCAGGTTGGGTGCCTTCCAGTCTTATGGAGGTGGGGGCCTGGAAGAAGACATGCTAGGGTATCAGGAGCAGAAAAGGTCTGGGGCCTTGCTGTGCCTTGTAGGTGCTACTGCTGGTCTGTTCCTCTCATGGTAGAGTACATGGGGCTGTGGGGGCCAGGGGAAACTCCAGAGGCCTCTGAAAAAGTGAAAGGGATGTGGTAAGCTGGAGAGAAGGTTCTTGGCATAGTTGCTGAAGCCCCAGGTTCCTGTTCCTTCCAGAAGTCAGTAAAAGCAAAAGGAGGCCAGGTTCAGGGAAGAGCTTTATTGCTTCCATGAGGGCTGCCTGAGGTGGATGCCACAGCCTGGACAAAGCCCTAGGCCCTCACTTTCCTCTGGTCCAGGCTAAAGGCAAAGCCCAAGGATCTGGCAGTTCCATTTCAGAAACCCAGAACATCTGACAAGCTGGTCAGTCCAGGTGGGGAAACTGTCCTATAGGTCAGTACAGCTGGAAAGGGGAGCTCTTCCTGTCAGGCTGGGCCAGGCCTCCCCTCCCGAGCTTTAAAGTTCTCTCTGCTCTAGCCCAGGGGGTGTCTTGCTGGCTTTCAAGGGATGGCCTCAGGGCTTCCAGGCAGGACAGCTGGGGGCTGGTGAATAGGAATATCCAATTTTCTCCCGAAGAAATGCCAAAGAATGCCATGAGCTGGAAGAGGCTGTAATGAGATGCTGCCACCTTTCTGTAGCCCCAGAGTAGGGCACAGGCTGGTCATGGCACTCCCATTCTCCAGGGAGCTTACTGGTACCGCTGCCTGATGGGCCCTCTAGTGGGCCTCTTTCTGCATGGCAAGTGGACCAAACGACATCTCCAACCTTATTTAAAAATAAATTATCCCTCCCTTCCCCCCCACCCAAGTTCACAAAATGATAATACACCAAACATTGATTGGAGAAATGATTCTGACAGCATCCTTGCTGCCCATGTCCCACCTCCTACATGCTGGGCCTGCTCGGCACAGCCCGTGGCTTCCTGGCCCTCTGGCTTCACGGACCCAGGCTGAGAGGGGCTGCGTACTGGTCTCTGAGGTTGGCCTCTGAGCAGGTACTGCTCTGGCTGCCCTGCCAAGGCCTTGCTGCCTCTGGGGGCCCTTGGCACTGTCTTTCTCTGCGTCTGAAGACTCCTGTGCAGGTGGCCGCTGCTTGCTCTGGGCCTCTGTGGCTGAGTGCTGGGCCCACTCAGATGCCACTGCTCAGGTCAGTGATAACATGCGCCTTCACCAGCTTCCGCAGAAACTCTTTCTCTCGCTGGATGTTATGTGTCCAGGACTGGAAGGAAAGAGATGAAGTGATGAGGTGGGCAGCCCAGGTGGCTGCTGAGACACACACAGCCCTGCTTGAGCCAGGGTGGTGCGTGCCCCCTTCCAGTCACCACCCCCTGGATCTCTGTCACTGTGGACATCCGAAGGCAGACATGTGTCATCCACTGTGCCTGAATGACTGTGATGACCCTGCTTCAGGAGGCCAGAGGTCAGTGGTGGTGAACCTTTTAGAGACTGAGTATCCAAATTTCAACCCCAAACCCACTTATTTATCTCAAGGGCCAACACTGCGATTACACCTGAATGTCTGATGCTTGGATAGTGGGGTGACATGGCTCGCATGCGGACAGCGAGGGCTCTCTGTGCCTGCTGTAGCTCATGGCCCACAACTGCCATAGCTCAACGTGCCTTCCCAAGACCTGGACAAAACTATCCTCCCACTCTGTACTCATTCCTTCAGAGCTATTCCCCAGACTTCTTTCAGGCCTGGGTGCTGTAAGTCTCAGAGCTGGAGGAAGGAGGTGAGTCATGTCAATCCAACAGCAAGGGGGTGCAGAGTGATTCTCTGGCCTGATGCAATCTACTCTTCAGGCCCGGGGCAGCTGATGAAATCTGGTCTCCCAGATCACAGGAGCCAGGGAGCCTGAGGAGCTGAGCCTAATCTCTTTTTTTTTTTGTACTAGGGGATCAAACTCTGGACCTTGCCCTTGCGAGGCAGGTGTGGTGCCACTGAGCTAAATCCCTGGGCCCCAGCCTTATTGTTTTTTTGCTGTTCCTATTGTTTTCTGAGCAGGCTCTTGCTATGTAGACCAGGGTGGCCTTGAACAAATTTGCAGCAATCCTCCTGCCTCAGCCTTCTAAATCCCGGGATTATAGATGTGTGCCACCACACCCAGCTTAAATGTTTATCTTTAATTGACAAATAATAATTATATATATTTATGAAGTACAATGTGGTGTTTTGGTACATGTATATGTTACAGGATGATTAAATCAAGCTAATTAACATATCACCTTACATCCTTATTTCTTGTAGTGAGAATATTTCACTCCAGGGTTTGTTTTTTGTTTTTGTATTTGTTTTGTTTTTTGAAACAGGGTCTTGCTATGTAGCCCAGGCTGGCCACGAACTCAAGGTGATCTTCCTTCTTCAGCCTCCTGAGTGATGGGATTATAGGCCTGTGCCACTACGCCCGGCTTGACTGTAGTTAATAAAAACATATTATTTATTTGAAAATTGCTAAAGAGGCTATGTGGAAGTTACAGGGAAAACACTGCCTTCCAAGACTTCCAGGACAGGGTTCTTTCCCATCCCATGTGCTCTCACCATGAGGCTTGGATGTCTAAGTCCTTCAGACAACAAAAAGGCTTGACGGATGGATGGATGGAAGGAAGGAAGGAAAGAAGGACAGGGAGGCAGAGCCAGCAGAGGAAGGGAAGAGGGGAGGGAAGTCAAGGGCCTCATCGTTCCTGTCCCAACTGGCCTGCCTGCCAGCCTCACTGTACTGACTCACAGCCACTGCATCCTGGTGCTAAGAACTCAGGCCTCTGTCCGCCCTTATTCTGCCCCTGGCAACCTCTCCAACCTTTCAAATCTTTTCAATGTGAAACTCAGGCAGTCATCAGCAGCATTCCCTATAGTGCTCTGCTCTGAACTTCCTTCACCTTCTTCTTTGAGCCACAAGCCTGGCCTCCCTGAAGGACAGCACCCAGGGGTGCTCTCAGGTGGCAACGGTTTCCTCCCTCTCTGCGTCACCTGAGGTGGGTGGCTCTCCCTTACTCTCTGTCCTGTTTCTACCTGGTTGTATTTCCACACTCCCTAAAACACCCAGCTGCTCCTAGCGATCTGTCATTACACTTTGCTGTCTGCAAACTGCTCCTCTTTGTTGCAGATCCCAAGGGCCCACCCCATTCTTTGAAGATTTAAGCATCTGGCTCATTGTCTCTGTTTGAGGGCAGGGACTGCTAGACACAGAATTAGTGCTCAATAAACATTTGTTGAATGAAATTAGACTTTATAGGCAAGAAACAGGTTCATAAGAATGGCAGAATCAGGATACAAACACTTGTAGACACTAATAAAGCTCTGTACTTACCCCACATCTCCCCTTCCGAGAAGTTTGATGGGTCAGTTTCAAGAGCACCCACTAGGAGTCACTGAGGGGTAATAGGTTAGCAGAGGACTATTTGATGATGCTAAGGAATTACTGTTAACTTTTTAAGATATGTAATAACAAAAAGTAGTATGTATCCTTCAGAGAAACTGAATGAAATATTTATGGCGGTGATGATAAGATATCTGAGACCTGCTTCCAAGTGTTCAGTGGGGCTGGGAGCATGAGAGGAAGGAGACGAGAAATAGTATCGGCCATGTGTTAAAGACTGATACATGGACGGGCAGTATATTACCCTCTTGGCTTACAGATGTGTTGGACAATCTCCTTTCATAATGAAAATGTAGGCAGGAAAGTCTGCTATAGGGTGACACCAATCTGCTCTCCAGGCTGCCCCTCTTGGGTGCTCGTCCTAATTTCTGTGGAGCCTTGCAGAGCTTCCACAGTGCTGTGGGCTGGCACAGGACTCTGGAGACAGATGCCCACCCACCAGCCCACACTCTCAGCAGGGTCCCCCTCCTCTTTAGCCACCACCCCCTTTATTGAGACAGGGTCTCATTATGTAGCCTAGGCTGGACTCAAACTCATGATCTTCCTGCCTCAGCCTCCCAAGTGCTAAGATTACAGGCATGTGGTACCATACCCGGCCCCTTTTTAGCCTGTCTGACTCCTCTGCCTTTGCCCAGCCATTGAATGTTGGAGTCCTGGCATTCCACCTTGACCATGCTTCCTCCCGTCTTCTTCTGGAAGTTGCAGCATGCCCTTTACTGCGGTCCTCACAGCTCTCTCTATTTCTAGCCCAGATTTTACAGCTGTGTGGCAGACACTGTATAAACTGCCTTATCCTCCAGCTACTTCTCAGCCTTGCCCCTCTCCTTCTCCTCTGTCCTGACGGAGTATTCGGGAGGTGTGACCCCTGCAGCCTATGTAGGTTTCTTTTCACTGTTCTCTAATGCACCTGGCTCCTACTCCCTGTACTGGGGGGCTGTTCTTACCACAGCCAGCAGGCATCTCTTAGCTTCTACCTCTGGCAGCCACTTCTCCCAGGATTAGTGTCTTTCCAGGACACTCAGGAGAGTGCTTGTACCCCATCCCCATGTACAGTCACAGTGAGAAGACAGCCATCTGTGAGCCAGGAAGTGGATCCTCACCAGACCTGAATCTGCTAGTACCTTCATCTTCAATTTCCAGACTCCAGGACTGTGAGAAATAAAATTTTCCTCTTTAAGTCACAGAGCCTAGTATTCTGTTAGATTAAGAACCAAAAGAGCCTAATACAATACAGAAGGTAATTGAAGATGGGGATGTAAATGTGGAGAAGATGTAGAGTGAGAAGACAATGTGGGATGGAGTGTTAGCTCATCTCGATTCCTACAGGGTGGACCAAAACCAATGACATGAGACAGACAATCAGAGAGATGCGTAAGTGAAAGAACAAAAACACCAGAAATTAACGACTCAGAATCTAAGCGGGGAGGAATGGCCCACACATAAAAAGAGTTTCTGGGAGGTCACAAAAGATGACATGTGGCCACTATCCTGGGCAGCCTGGAGGTAGGTCACTGGCAACCTCGGAAGAACCTGTGTCAGGTGTGGGTGTGTGTGTGTGGTGCTGAAGGGCTGAATGAGAGGGAAGTACTAAGGGGTGCTGCGAAGCTTCAGCTTTCTCAAGGAGAAGGCGGGTGTCCAGGAGTG